GTGGCCGATTTTCTTGTTGACGATTGACCCTTGTTTATATGGATGACGGGCGTGTTCTTTTCCTTTTTCTTCATTTTTTACTTTTAATATATTCGATGTTCTTGTACGTGAATTTTGAGGATATGAATACCTTACCGTTTTCCCTCTCTTTTCTCCGTTTCAAGCCTAACTAACTCTTGTTTCGCATTTTCCCTACAGCCTTTGGGAATATCCAAGCAAACTTGAGATAGTGAGCTGAGCCGGACTTTTCACACTACATCAGGACGTAGCTTTAATGCAACAATTGAGAAGACTGATCTTGTCTGGCTTATGAAGTCTCCACACTATTTTCCGCACGCTTAATTCCCTTGATCTCCACTCCTGCTGAGTTATATCACATGATACACAGGCTAACTTCATCCGCTCTAGCCCCATCCAACCACAAAAATTATAATCTGAATATTTGAGCCTTCATTCCGCTTCTTTTTTTTTTTTTTTTTTTTTCTCCTCCTCTTCTTCAACTCCTCGCTCAAAGAATCGCATTCAAAGCTTACGCACAGAAGAAAGCATTTCTTAGGGCCTTCTTCAAACCACACCTTCTAGCTTTGGGAGAAAGTCCCCGGACACCCTGCGCCCTCTGGATTAAAACCCACGGGGTTCTTTTTGTTAGCAAAAAGCCAGGCAATGCGGAAACGCGCCGCCATAGAAGCATATTTCATTGCGGCTTAATGCCACTCCCTTCTTCTTTTCTTTTTTTTAAGGAGGAAGACCTCCCCTTTCCATCCCGACTTTGCAGAAGTTTCGATTTCTGCAGAGGTAACAATGGTGGCTGGATTGGATGGGCCAGTTTTTGCTGGCGGGGATTGGTTGCTATTCGTCGTGGTTGGATAGTCATGCGATTGCTCATTTTTTGTGTATACGCCTTTAACAGGGTGTGTGTGTGATTTTTGAGTAACTCGATGGGGCTTATTCTTGAGGCGAGGAGTTCACTTCTTTTACCCCCTTTTAATGCCAAAGGTCTGTAGCTTATGGAAAGCGGTGGTGAGGTTCTGCGTTTATTCTCCTTTTGGCGGGATTCTCATCACAGAAGCCTTGTCGGATGGGCCAGACTTGTCTCATTTTTTATTTATTACTTTGCTCGTTTTATGTGGGAGAATGTGAGGGTGGGTGTGGGGTATTTTGTTGAGGTTCAAGTGATGATGCGTATCATAGAGTCAAGCACTGAGGCTCAAAGAGCTGTTGAAGACTCAAATGATTTAAAAATATATCTGATGGACATATATATGGAGGTATAATTAATAATGTACAATATGATTTTGCTTGCTTCAAATATATATATATATATATATTTTAACAATGAATCTTACTAGTTTCACAGTGATATCAGACATGAATTTCATCTTGTATTTACTTGGCACATGGCAAAATGAAAGCCATCGTATTTGTCATAGCCATCCCGCTCATTGTCTCTTCTTTTCTTTCTCTACCGCACCAGCGCCAACCTTTATCGCTTCCATTGAGTCCTTAGATCCATATAAATATCTCACTGTAGCCCCGATCGCCTCGCCTACCAAAGCAACCATCACAGCACAGGCACCACCCCAGACTTGTATACTCACAGTTCCCATCGGTGCGCGGGGGAATGACAATACCCACTCGACCTGCCATGGAATCCAGCTGGGAGGTAATGTGAAAATCGGCGTCTTGGAGAACCAGAACTGGAGGAGGAGTATTAACCCGGAGGTCCCTGCCCAGCGGAGGGCTTTGACAGCGACGTCGAACAAAGATTTGAATCGGCTGAATTGTTTGTCTGTTTCGTTATTTCGCAGATTAGCATTACCGTGTTTGGTGGATGGATGATTTAACAGCATCCAGCAACTAATTTTCCTCTCCATTTCAACATGCACGCGGGTCTCCCGATGTAAGGATTCGAGTGGGATACGATCTCCATATAAAAAGAACATACTTTTAACTTCATACTCCTCTAACGCCTTATCATGGCGTCGTCGTAATTTGGCCCATTTCGCAAACTCGTCCTGTGAGCTTGTTGCGTTCATTTCGCGCTTCAGTTGCACTACTTCCAGTTTCATCTGGTGCTGTTCTCTGGCCATGCAGGATGCGCTGGTTGGTAGTTTCGTGTAGATGAGCCATAGCTGTAAAGATGAACGTTACACTTGTGGTTATTACGGAGTAGATGTAGATTTCATGTATTACCATCCCTTCCGGACAGATTGGGAGGAGTGGGGCAACCGAGAGTCAAGGTATCGGCGGGCTGAGGAGTCTCATACCAGGCTATCAATTGTAGAAGCTCCAATAGTATTGATAATGTAAATGGCAATATGAAGGAATAGAACGCTGATGAGTAGAGAGGGCATTTTGGTTTCATGCATCATGTCGTTCGTTAAGGGAGTGATTCAGTGTGGAGGCCTCGACTGTGTTGCATAGAAGAACAGTATGTTCGGGATTTAGCATTGGCGTAAAGGCAGGATAGGGTATGGTGTGTTTTTGCAAAGTTTTCTGGATCAGGCATTCATAGTTACAATGAGTGTATTCTCCCACAAAGGGGTGTAGTACGTAAGATATATCTGCTAGGTATGCAGGGAGAGAGTTGTGACGTTTTCCTCTAGAGTTGGCCAGTTGTTGTTTTTGCTGAACATATTAACTTAACTATAATGAATGCGGTTGGGGCGAGATGAATATTTGCACCGTTTGCACTGCTTGTCTTTATTTGCGTTTGATTCTCAATGGCTCCCCGCACCTTCACCTCTGCATCCAACAAACACCCTGAACAGCAGTTTATGAAGATATATCCACTAATATTCAGATGGGCTCGCCTGAAGACTACCACGGGACACTAACCAAGTTTCTGGCGGCCAGAAATAACCAGATATTTGACATCCATTTCCTTCCCGAGGGCTTCGGCGACTTACTCCACGAGGGTGCGGAGATCGGAATCAGCAAGAAAGCCCTCGTGCAATGTTTCATAAAGGCCCGGCAAATATTTTTCTCTCTTCCCCCACAGCAGCCACGGCTCAAGAGAACTGCAGGACAGTCGCAGTCACAGTCTCATCTCTCAAAACCTAACAGCAGTCAAGGATGTAATGCGCCAGAGACGCCAATACAACAGGGCAATCCCCTTCAACCCTCCCCCAGCGCTAACCCCAATTCCTCCTTCAACGATGACTTCTCTTCCCAAACACTCCTCCTCCAAACAGAAATCCTCCTCCTCGTTGACTCCGAACACTTAACAGCCTGCAACTGGCGCAAGCGCAGACTCTGCGCCTTGAAAGAAGCACATTCGCAATGCACCCCCAACTCCAACTCTAACCCCTCCATAAACCAGTACCTCTCCGTCCTTCACACCGAAATCTCATTTACCACCACAATCCTCCGCTCCCCATTACACCGCCACACTAAATCCCCCGTACTCTGGTACCACCGGAAATGGACCATTACACAGCTCTTCAACCTCTGCCCTGATAATCCTATCTCCGTCTTCGAAGGCTCGCACCATCTACCGCATTATGACGCTGACGGCGGCGTTGCGAAGCTGGAATCCCCTCACAGCATCGATGTTGCTGCAGCAGTAAATCAAATCCTAAACTACGAAATCTCCGTCGTGCTGCAAGCGGGAACCCACCATCCGAAGAATTACTACGCCTTCAGCTACCTGCGCGAATTTCTGGGCCTGTTTGCTGATGCGCTCGGGCTTGCCCGGTGGCCTGCTGGAGCAACCATTCAACAACCAATACTGTTATGTCATTTGGCACGGATGGCTGTTGAGTCGGTGCATTCATGGTGCATGACATATTCGCATCGGCGGGATATTTCTGCGTGGAGCTTTTTGCTTTGGTTGCTTGAGGCAGTGGGTGATGACGATGACGATGATGTGAGAATATTAAGGGAGGTAGTCGTGGAGAAAACTGCGCGTCTTGGTATGGATGTTCGATGGGATGGGGAGGGATTGTGGATCTTTGTTGACCTTGCTGCGGGCAGTTTTGGGATCGATGTGGATTGGATTATGGGGAGTTGGTCTCCGAGTCGAGGTTCGGGGCAACGGTCTTCGAGTGTAGGTGGTGGGCCTGTTGACACAGATGGGGTAACTGTTGCCATGTCTGTTTCCTCGATTTCTGATAAGCGGTGGAAGAGGTGGGTTAGTAGAATGAAAGCGGCCTGAATTGGAATGTCACTACAACTACAGCAGTTATAGATAACGGGTGGAGTTCAGAAATCAATTAAAACCCGGGCATCAAGTTTATGGAAGAAAGGGGCATATGAATAATATTTGATTGGGAATTATCGACATGTTATTGGGGGTAAAAATAGGAAAAGCGAAGCCGGGATGTTTTGCAAACTGTGGAAGGGAATTAAAATCGTCAACAGCATATGAAATATCGCTGAAACCATGAACTGGAACCAAAAGCAGATGCACAAAACAAGTTGGGATAGTAGTTCAGCAATTTCTCAAAGGGGTGGTAATCCTTCAAAAGAAACTAAGATCACTGGTAGACATGCCCATCAATTTGAAAGACTCAACAGCAAAGGAAACCGGATAACTGGGAAGATGTTTTCATAAAGTTCTTATAGTTGAAATAGACCTCGCCTTCGCTAAATTTGAAAATAAAAGGAGACACAAAACCCAACCTAAGTTTCATATAAGTTCATGTAAAAATTAAAACAACAGTGACAAAGAACAATATCCCTCATGATCCTTTCCAAAACCAAAGAAACTACACAACTTTCCGCCTTTAGCTCAGGAAATGATTCTGTTTATTTGCACTTTCAGTCTCCCGCCCGCCAGCACTTCTTCCCATATTCAGTAGATTGCATCCTGTTATCAACCGGCCTTGTCTGATCTCAGGGTAGAGAAGATTTGTGGTGGAACAATTATATATATCATTATTGACCGTGCTCAAGAGACAAATCAATCCCGGATAAGCAGGTTGTTTTGAAGTGTTCCACCTCACCCATTCGCAATCTATATTGGATTTTTGAGATGAGTTTCAGGGAGCTGTGTAGATTTACTTCTTCTTGGCTGCCTCAGCGGCTTTTTTGGCGTTTGCTATTTTATCAGGAAGGTTAGTTTCTTCGACTTTAATCTTGTATTAACAATCGACAAAAAGAAAATATGTCCCATGAAGACGAAGGGAAGACCATCCAGAAAAACTAATAGAGGATTGAGAGAGGTACAAACAGTGGTAGATTATAATGATAATCAGAATATAACACATGGTTCGAGATAGGATCAATCTGATATATTGCATGTTTCAGCAAGCATGTTGGAATCGAAGGAGACATACCAGTTTCTTGCTTCTGGCGCATAATGGCTGCCTGGGCCTCCTTTGTCCGAGCAAACTCCGTGCCAGACTGGGTATTTTTCTTTTTCTGTTGTGGGAAAAAATGACGGACACATGTTAGCTGGATGCTTTGTAATAGGATGCTTCATGGATAGATAATCGACAGCGCGAGGGATCAGTGGGTCATTTACCTGTTGAGCTGCTTCCTTCTGGGTCTTCTCGCGGGCCTTCTCACGCTGGTTTCCACGGGCCATGATGCCGGAAGCAGGACGGGCGAAATGCACTATTCAGATAAAATACAACCACTATAGACAGCAGAGAAAATTAAGGGTTAGTGGTTACCCGTTGGACGGTGCTCGCAATAAGAAAGGGATGAATCCGCTGCTGATGCAGAACGGCGAGATGAAAAAAATGGTGACATGACTAAGCCATGACTAAGACATCTAACTAACTAATGTAATTCCACATTGAGCAGACACCACACTGAGCAGATCATCAATTTAAAATATCTTTCAATTTAACTACTCATCTATTTCAACGCGCAATTATATCATCAATTCAGAATAAAAAGACATCAAATTCTCTAGAGCAAGAGAGAAGACTTGAACTTGCAATAAATACTATTATAAAGCAAGAAATATCTTCAATTTATAAAACTATAAAATTATTTAATATATTATATTTAACTTTTATCTATTGATTTTATAACCTGTTTATATGTGTGAAGTTATATGCAAATTCACATATGTTATCTTCTGCTGATGAGGATAGGCTAGTTCAATGAGTGCTGAATTTAGCTAAATAAGAAATTTTTTTTGATCAATATTAATTAAAAATATGATTAATTATTATATTATATTATAATATTTTACTACTATTTGTCACAGAGTCAACAAGAATTGAATTTTAATACTGATTAAATACTGTACAGAGCTTTAAAGATGCTATTTCAGATACTATAATCATTATGAGGACATTAATATGGATGAACTAAGTATTAAAAGAAAGTGTGAGAAGCTCTATAACTAAAATTATAAGAGAATAAATATATAGATATTATAAGCACTATGAAAGAAAGAGAATAATAATAAATAAAATGTATATATAGAATTAAATAATAGCTAATCACTGAATCTTTCAAAGAAACTTTAAAGATTTAGAGTATTTATATATATGAATAAGTAGCAATAAATTTTATCTCTAATCTTTCATGAAATGAGGATTTAGTAATACAGTGATCTGAATTTTCATAAAGTGCTGATTCTATTCTTCAGAAAGTGCTGATGCTAAAGAACTAATTTTTGAGAAATGCTGATCTGTATTGATTCTGAATGCTGAATTTTAAGATGATGCTGATTCTCTAGTAGATATTGATTCTAAAGTGCTTTGATAAGTAGTATAAAGATAAGTGCTTTAGTAAGTAAATATGAGAACTTAGAGAATTTAATTTTAAAGTATTTTAATAAGTAATATGATAAGCAATGTGAGGATAAAGAGCTAGTATAGAGAGTTTTAACATTATAGCTACTATAATAGGTTGAACCACTAGATTTGCTCTGGCTGGCTGACTCAGCCTAGCCATCATTTGCACATGCGCACATGATCATGCTATGTGAGCTTGCTTAAGCTCAAGTTCTCATCTTATTCTTTTCTTCCTTTTCTCAAGCAATTCATCCTTGTTATATAGTAGGACTAGCCTTTAATTCTTAGAGCTTAACCCTTTACATTACAAATTGCTTCACTCCTTTCATTGATAAGCTACTGGGAGCCTTAATCTTGTATCATGAAGCTCAGCAAATGTGCTGACATATGATAGACTATTGAGAGCTTTAAATCCTGCATCATAAAGTTCAGTAATAGCACTGATATATGAATAGACTGGGTTAGCAATCATGCTAACAAACAAATGAGCAACATTGAAAACATCTAGCTGAATAAAATAAAGTGACAGACTTGTACAACAAATACACAAATGAATCAACATAAAGCAATGAGCAGGGACATTCTCAGCAGCTTTGAACAACAATAGATGACCTTTCTTCAACAGCAGAAACAGGTCCAGCATGAGAACAAAGATTTAATAGCAGCTCAGCAAGCTGAAATAGCTAATCTACAACAAGCTTTGAACACTTTGACATCAACTCTCTCTCAATTGAACCTGCAACCACTTATTGTAATCAGAAGACCAAAGATCAAACTACTGAACTGTGAGAAGTATGATGATTCTAATATGAAGCACTACTCTTAGTGAGAGCTAAAGCTTTAATCAAAACTTAAAGTCAATGGAAAAGCTTTAAATAATAATGAAAAATGTGCTTGGTATGTGTACTTGAGACTGGAAGAAATGACAGCAGCTTGAGTTTACCTCTGAGTTGAGAATAATAAGAACAAGATCAACTTCACAGTAGAGAGCTTACTAGAGCAAACATACATGCTCTTTAGTGATTCTGCATGATAGGAAAAGACTATGCAAAAGCTCAATAATCTATGACAGGGTAGAAGAGCTCTTTTTAACTTTCTGCCTGAATTTAATCAGCTACTGCTGGAAGCTGGTGGTCACAGATGAGATGATCACATTAAAAAGAAGTATTTAAAATCTGCTCTAAGCATGAAGCTGAGAGAAGGCATGATGAGTGTAAGAAAACTGTCTCTCTATGAGAATTACTATAAGAAGTTTAGATTAGTTGATCATTAACTCTCTGAGCTTAAGACTTTAAGACAGTAGTCTAAACATCACAAGAGCAGATCTTCTTCAGATCATACAACATCTAATTCACACTCTCTACTTTGTCATATTGTTCTTGACCAATGAAACCAGCTTCAAGCTTTCACTGATGATATGATGAATCTCTCTTCTGGTGCTGTGACCTCAAGTACTCACCACATCAAATTGATAAATCAGACAGAGGTTAATTGATGAAGAGAGCAAGGCCTGTGCCTAAGATGCAGAGCTAGAAGTCATATAATTAAGAGCTACCTGTTCAAATCTCTCAGACACTCTGCCACTTTTATAATAGCTAAGATGATCCTTGAGCTGGTACTGAATGACGACAATGTGAATATAAGTGAAGATTCAGGAAAAGAGTAACTTCAATCAAAAGATACTGAAAAGAGTGAAATAAGAAGCTTATGAGAAAGCAATGGAGAAGATTTAAATCTAAGATGATATTCAAACCCTTCACTGTCAATGCTCTAGTAGATAATACCTTTTTGACTAAAGTAATAATAGACAGTGAATGTAATATCTATGATCTTATTTCTTAATTCTATATTAATAAGCATAAGCTCTCATGCATTGAAATTCCCTCTGTTAAAATGACTGGCTTTGAAGACTTCATGAGACTCTCCACAAGCATAGTAACTGGCATTTGAATTGATATAGGCAGTTACATAACTGAACAGGCCTTTCTCTACATAGTGAATAGATTATATGGTCATGATATGTATCTAGGTGACCTCTGGCTGGCCCAGCAAAAGACAACTGTGATCCTTCATTGAAGAATTGTGAGATTTGAAGAGAGTGGCATAGAGGTAGAGTCTAGTTCAAATGCAAAAACTGATGTGATTCCCATCTCTGCTATAAGCTTCTCTAGGCTTGTGAGCACTTGAGAGAAGTGAAACATTGAGATCTTTGCTGTCAGTTTGACTGATATTCAAAAGACTCTAGAAGTGAAATCAAAGATTGACCCTAGAGAAAAGCTGTCTGAACATTATCATGAGTTTTTGAATATATTTGATAAGGAAGCTGCCAACACTCTACCCTCACTTTGTGATTCAGGTAGAGATCATAGGATTAAACTGATTAAAAAGACTGATAATAGTGCAGAACAATCTCTTTGAGGCCTATTATATAATATATCTCAAGAGGAACTACTGGCTTTGTGAAAAACTCTTACAGATTATCTAGATAAGGGTTTTATTAGGGTGAGCAACTCCCCTGCAGCCACCCCTGTACTATTCACAAAGAAGTATAAGAGTGGACTAAGATTTTGTGTGAACTATCAAGCTTTTAACAAAATCATCTGAAAGGATTGATATCCTCTATCATTAATCAGTAAGACTTTACAGTGAATTGAACAGGCTAAATGATTCATTAAGCTGGACATTATTGCAGCTTTTCACAAGATTTGAATCACAGAAGGTGATGAGTGGATGACAGTCTTTAGAATCAGATACAGGCTATTTGAGTGGCTGGTTACATCCTTTGGTTTGGCCAATGCTCTGAGCACATTTCAAAAATATATCAACTAGGCATTACATGAATATCTGAATGACTTCTGCTTGGTCTATTTAGATGACATCTTGATATTTTCCTCAATAAGCTTATGAGAGCATCATAAGCATGTACAAAAGATGCTTATATGTCTATGGGAAGTAGGCCTGCAGGCAGACATCAGAAAGAGTGAGTTCAAGATGAATAGCACAAAATATCTTGAATTCATCATTGAAGCAGGCAAGGGTATACAAATAAATTCAAAGAAGGTTAAAGCTGTTTTGAAATGAGTAACACCTACTACTCTTAAAGATGTATGAGGATTTTTAGACTTTGCTAATTTCTATAGATAATTTATCAGGGATTTCTCAAAGATTGTGATCTTACTGATGATTCTTACACACAAGAATATTTCTTTTTTGTAGACAAGCAAGGCTGAGGAAGCTTTTAAGTGTCTAAAATTAATGTTTATCTCTGCTTTAATTCTGCTTCAATTCAACTCTGACTATGAGACTATATTAAAAATAGACTTCTCAGATTATGTCTCAGAAGAAGTGCTACTACAATATAATGAGCAGAGCATTCTACACTCATTTGCTTTCTTCTCTCATAAGCATTCACCTGCAGAATGCAACTACAAGATTCATGATGAGAAGTTATTAGTGATAATTGAGTATTTAAAGAAATGAGACACTGAGCTATGAAGTGTAAAGGAATTCAAGATTCTTACAGATTATAAAAATCTAGAATACTTTATGACTACATACAGACTAAATGAAATACAGCTATATTGAATAGATATTCTCTATTAATTCAACTTCAGAATTGATTACCAGCCAGAGAAGTTGAATGCTGAATCAAACACCATATTACAAAGAAAGCAGAACATGCCACAGAGTGCTGATGATGAGAGAATCAAGCAGAGACAAGCTCAATTACTTAAGTTTAATGTACTGACATCTGAAATGAAATTAATAGTGACTGCTGCCAGTGTGAAACCTGAGATATCTCTTCAAACTCAGTGAAATAAGACTCACAAAA